ATGGCCCTTGTTGATTTTTTTGTGGTTTTTTTTTTTTTTTTTTTTTTTACCCCTCCTTTCGTTTCCTTATTGCCGTTGCATTGCTTGGTGCTGTTTAGAGTTTTATTCCTGATAAATTCAGCTTGTTTAAGTAAAAATTTTTTGTCTCGGCGTGAACTGGTTCTTGAAGTCCAAACAGTTGATCTGTATGGCTGTATTCTTTGCAGAAATACTTTGCTTTAGGTATTAGTTCCATTTGTTATCCTGTGATTGAATGTTACAGAAATGTTTTTGTTCTTTCTTTATTAAGATCATTTTGAGGTGACACTGAATTTGGTTTATATTTTCTTCTAGAGGAAGGGAGCCTGCTGCAGTAACTCCTCAGTTCTTGTCTTGTTGAAATAATAGTGCTAGTTACTGTCAGCTTTTCCTAAATATGTGTATAGAGAGTGTAAGAGCTGTAAATTGATGTGTTAATGGGTTTAATAGTTTAAAAATAGTACACTCAAGATTTATATGGAGTTTAATTTCTGTCTTGATTATTTTATCTGTAGATTCTTTTTGTAATGAGTCAGCCTTGCCAATTCTGCTTCTCACAACTTTACTCTGGATTAAAACTCTAAACATGTGAGTTTGTTAATTAGTATGGAAGAATCTCAGGAATTGTATACTCCCACTTCAGGCTAAAACTGAGCATTGATGGTCTTTTTTCCTGAGCAAAGTGGTTTCTCTTACTACTTAATTTTTTTTTTTTTTTTTCCTTAGCAGGCCTCCCCCACCCCCAACAGAAGATTAGCACTCTGACTAATCAGGTCACTTCTCATACGGGTAGCCAAGTTAATTAGGCTATTGTAATTCCAGGTTTGTTCTTGAACCAGTGATGTATGTGTACATACACACATTATGTATGTGTGTATATAGATAATTCCCCCACCTCACGCCCCCATCTTTCTGTTGCAACATGTTAAATTATTTTAAAATTATAAAGTTAAAAGCTCCCTACTCTTGAACTTCCTTACTCTGTTATGTGAAATTGTTGCTTGGGTACAAAGTGATCATTATAGTAAATCCCACTTGCCAGCATGTATTCAGAGTACCAAAGGAACACGCTCAAGTGTGGTATTCAAATAGAAGTTGATGCTAACTTTAGAAATAAAAATCTGAAGCTGTGAACCGGTACTTTGCTAATAAGACACAATTAAGACAAAGCTGCTTAGTTAATGAGTGAGTGTGGGAAGTTCTTAAAGATACAAGATTGATTGGATGGTTTATGTAGTATTGAACTGTATGAGCTCATATATATATTTATTGAAATGTTCCACATCAGTAATTTTTATCCCACTCTACTCTTGGCCTCATTCTTGAAATTCAGAGTTTTTCTAGTTATGGGACTTCATGCCTCCAATGTCTTTAATGACAATTTTATTTTAACTTTCCCCCTCCTGCAAATAATAAGGAATAAATAGGATTAGTGAAATTAATTTCTTTTTTTAGTAATTTCTTGCTTATGCAATGTGAATATTGATCGGTTTTCTTGCACTTTCTTTACGGTAGTGTCTTAGCTCACTGTAGTGAGCCACTTAGAACTTGGAAGGATAAAATAATTATTAGATATTTATTTCGGAAACGTGTAGTAGCCCATCTACTTCCATAGTAATCGATTGCCAAACAAATTATGAAAATACTAAGGAATGTTTAGAAAGTACATCCTACTTCAAATAGTTTACCACACTAAAGTTTATATTGTATGTTAAGACAGTTCCTTCTACTGTGTTGACTATAGTTTGATGCATCTCCTTAAGTGGATGAAATTACTGTTATGTGGGGGTCTTTTGTTAAACAGTAAGAAATATGTGGCCTGCTCCTCAGTTTCCACTGGACTTCGACTGTTGATGCAGTGACACTTCGTCTTTTCACCTTTCTCTGCCTCTCCCAACCCCCCCAGATATATTTGACTCAACGCTACAACCTGTTTGGAAGTTTGGATTTGAGTGGGGCAGCTGTGCATGTATTTGTGAACTTCACTGGGTTGTAGAAGGTCTGAAGATGGGAGTTTTTCACAGGGCTTAAAAACTACAAATCCTAAAAATGCTACATTTTGGGTGGGGAAAAATTGTGGCAGTTTCGGACTGGTGTTGCTGAAGAGCTTGTATTATCGTGGTCTTGGGCAACAACAGCGTGGATGCTCACTGCGCCTTGCGGTTGACTTATTTTAAAACTGTGAAGTAACTTAATCTCATTGTGCGCAATCACAGGCTCTTAAATACAATGAAAATATTTGACATTTAGTAGCCATGGGGATTAAAGCAGTAGTAGCATGATGTCACCGTTAGCTCAGTCTGGATATTCAGAGTGCCAGCCTTCCCACTGGAACAACCCTGTGGTTTTTTTTTTTGGTTTTTTTTTTTAGAATTCTTTCAATAATGAGCATTGTTTGGTAGAAATCAGCTGTGCAGAAATTAATGGCTGAGAAAGCTGTTTTTATTGCTCTTAGTCTGTCGTGAGAACATCAAGTTCCCGGCTTTCACGCACAAACAGGATTTCAGTTCATAAGACTGACTGTGGTTCTCCCTCCCCGCCTGCTGTGGAGTTCAGTTTTATGCAGTCTGCATTACAATAAACTCTAAGCTACAGGTATTTTCTCCTAAACTTGTAAGATTAGAAGCGAGAATAACTTTAATAATACCTTTGTGTAGGTGATTTTTTGGGGTGATTGAGGTGATAGTATTCAGCCCTAGCCCAACCTTCAGTGTGTTTTCAGTATCCTGAATACAAATGTATGAGATGCAGAGGAATGCTTATATTATGAGATTCTTTGGTTACGTTGTTCTTTGAAGATTATCCTCCTTTCCAGTAACGAAGTGCAGGTTCTGCAGCTGTACAGTCTCCAGCTCATAGACTTGCTGGCTGTGGAAATACTGGAATATGCGGAGTCTCCAAAGTACTGCATAAAAGAAGGAATTTTTTAGCAGCTGAAGTATTATATGCAGTGGAGGATAGAGAGGTGACAGTGTGAGCAAAATAATTTGCTAATGAAGATGTAAGCAAGTGATCTGGTCAAGAGGAAAGATCAGGACTGGGTAAGGAGTATTCTTGACATTTTATGCAAAGAAATTCCAACTGTTGGGTGCAACTCTGGTGCATAAGGCATTGTAAGAATCAGATGATAGTTTATGGACTTTAACTGTAGGAAGGCTGGAGGTAATTGAGGAAGTAGGGATTGAGAGGAAACAAGCTCCAACTTAACGAGATTTAAATCTGTGATGGAGATGGTGACTGCAGGTAGAATTGGAATTGAATGAAATGGTTCAGGAGCGTACAGCTAGGCATAAGAATCACTGACACAGTGGTGGTGCCTGAAGCCATGAGAATCAACGCAATTCAATACAATTTTAGGAAAATGGTGTCAGGTGTGATGTCCTGATCCCACCAGGAAGGGCAGAAAATACTCCTCAGAGAGGCTAGAGATGGGGGGAAAAGGAAAATTTTGAGAGGAGAATTCTGTAGCAGATGGACAGTAATTCAAAGAAGTAGATGGGAGAGGCCAGCAGTATGCAATAGAGCCCCAAGTAATTGTTCTGAAGACAAAAATTTACATGTTTAGGCATGCCTAAAAAGGAAAGAGAAGTTGAAACAAAAATGGAAGACATTAAAAGCGGCCTTGAAAAGGAGCTTAGGGCAGTGTTTGCAGGTAAAATCTACGAACAAGTTTTGAGAGAGAACACGTAGAGACAGGGGAAGAGTTGGGAAGTTCAGAGATCGTGTCAAGAATGATTAGGTGTTATCTTTATGAGGATGATACTTTGGAGTAAAATCGTTACAGACAGAAATTAAAATCTGCTTTCAGCAATGCTAATGCATAACTTATGTGAAAGAACTTTGGTTTTGATGAGTGTTACCTCCTTTTCTATCATAGAAGACATAGAATATAATTAAGAGTAAAATACATGCACTGTCTTAGTGTTACTTTTTATGCTCATTAAAAGATACTTTTAGTAGCAGGCTGGTTTTAAGCATTATAAATATAGACAGTGACCTATTTGTAAAGATTGTTCTGTCTTTCATCCTCTTTAGTAATTGACTATTGCATAAACTGTGAAGCACTGAGGGGGATTATCACTAGGATGGCTGTTTCTCTTTGATTAATTCTGAGTAGTAAAGGTCTTGCAAAAAGATCTTTTTTGTCTTACCTCTGAAATTTCTGTGGGATTGCTGTAACTTTCTTTTTAATTGAGGAAACAAATTATTTTGTGTTTCTGTAGAAGATGTGAGAGCGCGTCTTCTGGAGATGTTGGCATTCTTGACTTTGTCACTTGGTTGAAAGACTGGTGGCAAATCATTAGTGCTACGCTGCCTTGTTGGTCAAGCATTAAACCTCTAAAATAAATGGCTGTTGCTGGTTTTGTGAGGCCCAGAATTAATTTGCTTCTATTATAAGAAATTTCATGCTATTTTTTGTTTCATTCATTTGCCCAAGGAATAAATAGTTTGACAGTATGAAGGAAGGACATTATAAACAAGACATTTTTTTCTTACTGAAACTGAGCATGTTTGCAGATTCATGGTGGCATGTATAATGTAATACTTTGAATTATATTTTAAGTACCATCTTTTTAATCTCTTAACTCCTTAAAATCAGCACTTATTATTCTAATGATGTTAAATGCTGAAATATGCCCATTATAATGAGGTGAAGAATAACTTTCAATGACATGGAACTAAAAGCTTTATAATTTAAGGAATTTTGTAAAACATTAAAACATTTTTTTTGGTAGTTCCAGTAACTTCTGCTAGAACTTTGTAACCAGCTTGAAACATTTCCTAAGTTGTATCAGTAACTCTGAATGTTGTCTGTCCAGAACCTTTAAGGAACACTTTTCCTGGCTTTTTCTTTTTTTTTAATCAGTGACAACAGATCTGGATATTTTCACTTTGCAGTGGTTCTGTTTGTGATCAGCTCTGTCTTAGTACTTTTAATAAGTAACATCTGTGTAAGTCAGCTAGCAGGTGGCTATGCCTCTTGGTCCAAATGAGTAACTCTGGATTTAGGTGCCCTGGAAGGAGAAGGTGCTGTGTCCCACTAACACTACCTGCAGCCTCTGTGCTCCTGTGAACTTCCCTGCTGCAAATCATATTGACCTTCTTTTTAAAAAAACAAAACAAACACCCAAGTATTATCTATGTGAGGCGACTGTGGAAAAAATCATAACCTGGGAGACAAGTAGGCTTGTTCTAATATTGGTGTCTGAATGCGCAGCTCAGTAAGCTACAGATCTGCTTGGTACGTGTGGTTTCCTGTTGTGCTTTCAGAATTGAAATGGAGATCTAGAGCACTGTTAAAATTCTGCAAGTGCCGAACAGTCTTCTGAATTTCCACTTCTATTTATCTTAATTTCACGCAGAAAATGATAAAGTGGAACTTCCAAGGCATCGACTTGTATTCATAGACCTGTGCCTTTAATCCTCGTAGAACTACTTACTAGCTCAAATGAAGCTCCAGGTGCAGTGCTTAAAGAATAACAGTCATAATATGGAATTAGGTTTTCTGCTTTTCTTCGAGAAAAGTGTAATTTCTAGTGTGCAATGTGAGTTTAGCTGCCTGCTGTCCCACCTCCCTTTTCTTTTGAGGTACTGCAAAATACCACCCTGGGCGGGAGTGACAGCAGAATCTCTATGGAAGGCGAAGTAAATGCTTAGACAGAAAAGCCGTGCTAGGAAGAGGAGCGGGTGTTTTGTCTGACTGCTGCCTGGGCTGCAAGTGGCTGGAGATACCAGGGACGTGCTTGTTCTTCGTTGGCAGTGCTTCTGTTGGTTTTAAGTCGGGAACCTCCAGACACAGAACAAACTCAAATTGCTTTGTAATAAACAAACCCCCCTTTGAGAATATTTGATCATATCTTGTTCTTGCACATAACTGAATATAAGCAATTGCATTTGGAGTGTCTTTAGCTAGTTACTATCTAGGCCGTTGTTTAATATTGCAGTGCTTGCCTATGGAACAAATGTGTTGTTATTTTGTAGAATTCTAAAGAAAGTATCATTTGTTTCACAGCAGTGTGACAAAATGGTACGGAACGTATGACTCGGTAGAATAAAATGCAGAACACTTTTTTCCTTTTTTTTAGGCAGCTCTCTCTGGAATAGTAGACATTTGTGCTTTAAAAAAAGGAAAGTAAAATCTATGCGTATCTAGTACCCAAACAGCTGATACTCTCTGACGTGCCTTGCCAGATATGATTGATTTAAAAACGATAGAGATAAACGGGTTTTTGGCCTTACATGGGATTTGTTCTGATGCTAAAGGACAATATTTTTGAACAAAACAATCTTTCAAGACAGTAAGACTTGGAGATTTTCAAGGACTGTTGTGATGGTGAGTAATGCGGCAACATAGTATTGGATTACATTTATCGATTTTGAATTTAGTCTGTCTTAATATGCCTTTTGAGTTAGTTCTTGGGAAAGATGTAACTTTTTAGTAGATTGTTTTGTGAAAGTGCTAGGTTAATGCAGAGAAGCAATCAAAAAAGTGTACAGAATGTCAGTAGTAGGAAAAGGAGCAAAACAAAAATGCAGAACTCCAAATTCCATGGTATTTCTGTATTTTAAACAGTGTGCAGTTGCCAGCCTCTCTCATTTTGAAAAGTACATAATAGTGTTGAAAAAAGCATAGAAGAGGTGAAAAGTATGAGCAGAGACGTGAGATAGTTCATGTGTGAAGGCTTTGCAAAAACCTTGCATGCCAATGGGTGCACATGTAGTACTGCATGCAGAGGACTCCTGATTTTAAGTCAGTATTTTAGTTATTGATGCTGAAATGGCCAAGAGATTGTTGAGAAGTAAAGCAACCTTAATTTTGGTTTTTTTTTTCTTTTTCTTTTCAACATTTTTATCTGCTTGTCCTGTCTCTTTTGTGTTTTTTTTTTTTTTTTTGTAAACTACTTTTACAGAGACTTAGAGCTTGTGTCCAGTGTACGCTCTGAAGACTGGTATAGTTGCTTGGAGTCTATATTTCAATTAATTCTAGTTCTCTGTCTGATAAAACAGTTTTGTAAATGAAAGCTGAAAGTTGAGGAGCTGTCTGAATCGACCGAGAATATTGCTTATGTTGGGTTTTGATGTTACGTTATCTGGCTTCAACTTCTGCTTGTAATCAAATTCATGATTAGAACTTACTGGCTCCTATCTTAAATCTGAAATTACATATTACATTTTGAATTTAATTAACATAGTTTTAATTGTTCCCTTTTTAAATGGTTTGCCTGGGGCTGCTGGATGATTTTCTTATCATCCAGTTAATCAGAACACAGGGAAGCTACTTAATTTAAACACAGTGATGAAGAGCAGAGTTTTACCTATGTTTTTGGGTGGTGACTAGCATACGCAGTTGCCAACTTTTTCTTGGTTTTGTGGATTATCGAATCACTTTGCTGCTCTAGTCACCACCTGGCTCCACAAATATTTATTGCCAGTACAGCACTGAGATGCAGTGGTGCTGGCTTAAGTGGTGTTGTCATCATGTACGTCAATAGCCCTTACATACTTATTTATTGCAACTTAAATAGTCCTAAATAGTCTAGTGTGAAGTCTGCTAATCTGATGGATTGGAGGACACACCTGCCTTTTTAGTGTCATTGATGTGATGGGAGTCCTGCAACAAATGTGATAATGTAAAGAAATACTCTTAATAAAATATTATGTCTGATAAACACAAAAATACTGTTAACAAACTTTCTGGACTCTCAACTGGTTGTTCAAGGTATCTAATAGTGTTGTATACGCATTTCTTTTCTAGAGAGCTTGATGGATTGCCAGGATGTTGTTTAGAAATGATTCGTGCTAAACCAGAAGCTTTATATACTGTCTTGCACCTAACCATTGTTTGTTCTTTAAGTATTTAGAAGAAGCTTTATCCTGTGGTAAAGTGTGGTAACACTAAATATGAGGTTCTTGAGTGACTTTGATTTGACTGCTTTTCCTGTTGAAACTGAATAAAGGTGCTTTCCCCCCTGCCAATGATCTATCAACATACTTGGCACTGTCCATGTTAATTCCTGGTTATCTACATCCGTTTCAAAGAGCTAATAGTGGCTGTCATGCATAGCTGCGTTGTGCTTTAGACACAGGGGGACTGTATATGTGTGTATGCATATTCATATATTTTTTCTTTATATAATTATATAGAGAAAGGTATAAAAAATCAGGGGCCACTGTTCTGTTTCTTGATAACACTTTGATCTTGATTTGCACCTCAGATAGTGCAACTACCAACTTTAAACTCCTTCACAAAAACTTCATGACATGTACTCATCGGTATTGTCTTTTTTTTCTAATCCTCCAAATTTGTTCTGGCTACGACTTTGTCATGATCCTCCCTCCCAGGTGCTGCACTCTAACTTTTAATGACATCTTCATGCTACCCTGAGGCCCGGTACTTTTCATGCCATAACCGATGTTACTCCTTCCTACTCAGGCCCACAAGCTATGCCAGAGGACTTCATCGTTTCCTCCCAGGCGTGCTTTTCACAGCCAGGCTCTGTGGCTGCCTTGCTTTAGGGGGATAGCTGGAGCCTGAGGTCCCCGGGGAAGAGGCAGTGTGGCCCTGCCAGTGGCCCAGCTGTCACCCAGTGTGGTCCTTTGACCCTTTGCTCATCGTTCGCTCACTCGCTGAGCTCAGCCTCTCAAGCGCCCTTGTGCCGTGGCAGATCCTAATCGGTCATCCACTGCCGCCTTCGCAGTAACAAGCTACAGCCTTCAGCTTTACTTGCTTTCCTTCCTCTTGCTTTTTTCAGTTTGAAGGTTACATTCTTCATGTGACTGCCTGAGAGGACTTTTAGATTGAGGGAAGTAAAACTTTAGAGATTTTTTTTTTTCTTGTTATTCTTCCATGTTCTTCTCACAAGGAGAGACCTGTCTCAGTTCCTTCTCTTCCCAAGTTTGAGAGCTCTTGTTCCTATAGCAGGATGTCGGTTGTGATGCACCAAGATGTAAACTTACCTTTAAGTTTGTCTACTTTTCAGTTAACTGTATATATATATAAAAAAAAAACAACCCAACCCTGTATTGCATCCCTTTTTTGCTTTTTCCTAGTTCATAATTTGCTACTGTAACCATCAGTTGAGCAAAACCTGGATTTGTGCTTTTGTGCTTGTGATCTCTCTCTTTTTTTTTTTTTTTTTTTTTAATTCGAAAACCAGAAAAAACAAATCTCAAGTGCTTTGCTAAAATCTAGCCCTCAACTCTTATTCTTCTTTTCTTGCTTGGTGAAGCTCTAAAGCCTCAGCAGATTTTGTTCAAACTTATGGTGTGATGATACTCCATACAGCATTTATGAGGGCTGTAAGACAGTGTACTACCTACCTGCTGCATGTGTTTGGCATACTGTTTATTAAAACAAAGACAACATTGTGGGGTAAGAAGATGTTACACTGACAATTTCTTTCTTTGCAGTTGGTTTCTGAGAAAAGTTTTTTTGACTGGAGCTTAAAGGGATGTATTTAAATACTGCATCCATAGGTGGTCTCCGGAATTCCATAAGCTTATCCTGCTCTTATGTCATCTTCTCCTGTTAACCTCCTTACTGTCTGTCCAGAAACTGCTACTACTTTGCTTCACTACGTATTATGTTGCAAACTGTGATTTGAGGGCCGAGGATCAGGCTTCTGTGTTGTCCTCGGTATGGTTGGATCTGGGCTTGAGTGCAGCCTCAGAATTGTTGTAAAGTCAATACAATATCACAAATACGACATTTTTTTTTATATCTTCTTAACTGCCATCTGAAAAGAAAAATGCTGGTTTAGTATCTGATTTTATTGAAGTAAAGTGGTGTTTGTAGTCTTTATTTTAACATCTGTTTTAATGTTGAAACACAAAACTAAGTGACAAAAGTATTTACTCTGGATACTGAATTGCAGAAATAGCTGTTCTTAAAAATGAAAGAAATTCTTGCTAGTGTAAGGAAAATAAAGGGGAAGAAAGAGTGCAGAAATGCATGGCTGATTTTCATGCTTTCTGCCCTGAAACTGGATGCCAACAAACTGTCTGCAAGTACAGAGAACCAGACTAGGAAATACAGTCAAAGGATAAATATGTATATTTTTAGTTGTTGTAAGGGGGGAAAAAAGAGATGCAACCTAGTTGAGATTCCTATAAGAATTTTATTGCTTTGCTTATTTCTGCTGTAGGCAGTGCATATAGCCTGTTGCTGAGTATTTCTGGGATTTTGGGATAGTCTTTAACAGTACAATTGTGTACTTGCCTTTAGCATTTAAAAATGACTCAAAAGTAGTCTTAAAAAAATCTAACTTAAGTTATGAACTGGTTGTATTTCTAAAAATATTCATCCTAGTATTTGGTACAGTTTTGCAAAATGGAATCACAATGTTAAAATTAGAGAATGTAGCCCTACTCTAGCTCAGTTAAAAATTGAGAATTAAAAAAATATCTTGGAAGCACCATGGCATAATTACTTACAGGCATTTTTGTGTGGTCTTAAACAGCTACTAAAGGAAATATTCCTACTTTGCTCAGATTTTTAAATAATTCGTATGAATGTGCCAACTACTAACACTTTGTTCATCCTATTATGTCTTTTAATGCAGCCTTCTAAACTGAAGTCTTGACTTAAACTATTGTGTGTGTATGTCTTGCCTGGCATGAGACTTGGCTTCTACTTTGTCCTTCATTACCAGAAGAAAATGTTATGCATGATGTAACAGTAGATGTTT